TGCTTCTCCGTGTGACTTAAGCAGATACATTTGGTCAGAGTTGTTAAGTACTGTGTGCCCTAACTTGATTGTTTTATTATTATTATTATTATTATTATTATTATTTGTTATTCTTATGTTCATTGTTATAATTGTGTCTCTTCAGATGCAATGTAGGCACAAATATATCTTTTATGTAACAAGGAAATAAATAAATATTTATTCTTAGCCTCGGCTGAACAGCCCTAGTGGGGAGATAAGCACTTAAGTCAACATAATTAGCGCCCCCCCCCCCACCTCATTTGGCACAGTCGGCAGGATTTGCTATTTATGGGGCTGGTTCAATAAAGGTTGGATTGTAAGGCACCTTGATTTAGTGAGGAAAACAGTGGTTGTTCCATGACCCTGGAAGACCTCTCCAGTTGGAATCCAACAGCAGCCATGAGGACCAACCCCTTCCATACGTCTAATCTTGCTATTGTATAGGTCACTTATGGGTGAAGAATAGGGGCATTGACTCTAGTAAAACAATTACAGGCAGATAACAGGCAGTTATGTGATGAGTTGTTGATCGAGTGAAGCTGCTGATCACTCTACTTCCACTTCATCTGCTTCAGCTCTTCCGATCTGTTTCTGAGTGTTATGTCTATGCTCCTGGGAAACGGAAATGCTCTGTTAAAGCGTCGATACACAATAAGCCTGTGGAGGATTGCGTTGAGGAGGTCCGAAGGTCTTCGCTTGTTTGGCACATGCCCAGGAGTGAACAAGCTTTGTTTGTTTATGATCTTTTAGATGGAGAAGCTAAGTCAGAGGTCAGATTTCCGCCTCCCAGTGACAGGGATGGTTCAGATATCTAAATCTCGAAAATATTGATTGATGTTTTTGGTTGCTCACAGTCTTTTGTTTCCGAAAGCAGTTCATTCAAAAATGACAGCTTGAGGGCAAGTCACTTGATGGTGAATATTCACATGCTCTTACATCCATGATGGCAGTCGTGACCCGCAGGGTATGACTACTAGTTCACTGAATATGTACGTGATCACGTACCGCGTGAGGAGCTTGCATGCAGCTAATTTGACTTAGTTAGGCTGGATGCCCATATCTGGTTTAGGGCATCTGTAGCGAGGCCATCCGTTGGCCAGAGGATGAGGACCATCTTAACCTGAGAACACGAGCCTACTCCTGTCGTACCCACTCTGAGGTGACTGGTGAGCTGAAAGATCTTCTTTGTAAACAACAGGCACAGCTAGATATCCTCTTGAAGTCTATGGGACCATCGCACTCCCCCGGCATCCAGGACGTGAGATAAGCGCAGCTACATGGCAGTTCCACTTTGAATCACATGGGAAAACTATCTGTGATCGATGTAATAGCATAGCCATATTGCTAGGCTTTGTCGTGTGGCCCTTGCTGTGCCTTTTGTTACATTGCCCGGTGATTTTAGTAGCCCATCATTATGAGTTGCCACACAAATGGCTTCCTCGGGTGGGGAGCAGCAGGGAAACTAGAGTCCCCCAGTTTTGTGAGCCTGGAATCAGGAAGGGTTTCATCGGCTCTCTCGCCCCCCGCCCCACCCTATCTTGTTGGGAATGTCCTGTATTGCATGTCTGATCTGCTGGAGTAGTAACCCCCAACCTACTGGATACTGGCTCTATGGTAACTACAGTTACTGAAACATTCTTTGTTAAACATTTACGTCCCCACATTCAAGAACATGAAAATCAAATAAATGGTGGCATCTTAAAGCTGTCAATGTGCTAAATATGGATGGGAACATTCGTCTTTGCATAGATTGTCAGCAATTGAATGCCAAAGCACAGAAGGAAGCATTTCCCGTGCCATGGATCGATGAGTCTCTGGATGCTCTAATAGGAGCCAAACAGTGCAGCACCTTAGACCTAGAGAGTGACTATAACCAGGTTCCAGTTGGATTTTGCAAACTGTTTGGCTTTTTTGACGACAACACAATGCCATTTGGGTTGTGTGATGTTCCAGGGACCTTTCAGGGCTTGATGGAAAGGATCTGTGTAGAAGGGAGGTTTCAGTCCCTCTTCTGGACAACATTGTCATGTATTCACCTTTGTTCACAGAGCACTTGCGAAGACTGCTTTCTGTAGCATAGGTTGAAGCTAAAGAGGTTTCCATGCTGTTACAGTATCATAGGCTTGTTGAGGGCTTTGCCCCATTAGCAGCACCCTTGCATCAACTGATGCGAGAACTGCAAGGTTCAAAGCAACACTAGGGGGCACCATTCCAGTGTGGCCCTTAGGGAATGGCAGGGTGATGCCTCTGAGCAGAGCTTCCTTACACTGAAGTCAATGCTGTTCAATGCCCGGTTCATGGTTATGCAGACTTTTCTAAACCCTTTGTACTTGAAATGGATCCTATCCATCAGGGCTTGGGTGCGACCCTCTCTCAAGAGCAGGATGGGCAGCGGAAGGTCAGGGATATTTATCTCCACCTACCCCAGAACCTAAGGGGGGCCATGGGTCTCTGTATAGAAATAGCTGATAGATTTCGATCTCCCCATTTCGGTGGTACTACTACAGTGGAGCGGATGATGGAGACTAAGGCAGTACCTGAACTTGTATGTATATTAGATAAGTATATATTAGATAAGATGTTCTGAATAAATCCTCAATTCAGTTACATATTCATACCTTAAGGCTGTTTTGGTCTCATCACAGTTTTTAGACCGCAGAGTATTAGAGTGGTGAAAGGGAATATTAAGGAAGGAACTTGAAGGTTCTGGACCTTGACCCCTGGAATGGATGGCATATGGAACTCCTGGCAGATGAGTACCGGCGGTCCTCTCTCTGAAGCCCTCATCATCTGCTGACCCCAACCAGGACCGCTTGGCTCTGCGCCTGGAGACCTTAGACCTTCTCAGACTCTCCGCCAAGCTCGGCAGCCCTTGTCCTGAAATCCGGGTCAGCACTTGTACTTTTTCTGCACTTTTCCAATTTCTGACAAGAAATAACTTTTAAAGTCCATCTTTTTATTACTTTTGGCCAAACCTGCACAGCTGAATGCGGGCTTGAAGTAATGCATTTTATTTTTATCGTTTTTGAACTTGTTGTTTTTGTTGTAATTTATTTTTATTGCCCTGTAATATATTTTTATTCATCCAGAAAAGTATAAAAGTGATTAAATGTCATCAGTATTTAATGTTATCTGTGTGTTTATTGTCTCGTGGCTGAATGTGCTGACACGGTGACTTTAAGACTTATTTCCCCCAGTTTTTAATCCTGTTGGTGAGGTGCATGTTTATAAAGTCGGCATGAGTTCCTTGAAACACGGTCGGGTCGGGGGTAGGTTGGGGGCTCTCTGCACAGCCCCGCCGGATGATTTTATTAAAGTCAGCATAGGATGTTGATTCTCAGCTATGCTGTCTGTGTTTTGTCTTCTGGCCCCATTGTCACTCTGCTCTTCCTCTTTCAGGGGAACTAAACAGATTTTTAAAGACTTTAACCCTAACATTTGCCTGCATGAACATGGCCGTTCTCACTGCAGCTGGACTATTTACATTGGAAATGTCTTGAACAATGGACATTTCATTCTCCCTGTGTCCATTCTCCATTTATCCTGAATGGGGTTGTGAGGCACAGGTAAGTCCTACAGGTTTAGTACTGCAGTGGTCTCTGATTGGGACTTTAGGGCATCACAGTGTATAAGGTAGGGGACGCCCTGGATTGGACACCAGTCTGTCACAGGGCACAAGGGGACATCCTGTACGGAATGCCAGTCCATCACAGGGCACACATCCAATCACACACTAAGGGCAACGAGAGAAACCATGTCACCCAAACCACACAAAACCTTGCATTATTCAGTCAGTCGCTGGCTTATTTATAAGCAGACTATCAGACTTAAGCAGACTGACAGACAGCATGCAGTCACACTGGGGTTTATGTTATGCTGGCTAGTCACACTGTGTTGGAATAACTTCAGTCTGCAGGTTCTTCTTACTACATGAACTTATGTGGCTCCCTTAAGGAAACCCTACAAAATTCCATGTTAAAAACAGCTTTGAGACCGTTGGGAGGACAGCGTACAGGAGAGACCACAGCCCTGTTCTCTCTCTAGGTGGAGTCCACAGTCGAGGATTAAACACAGCAGGGACTAATAAAACACACCCTAACGTGTGTGTGGAAGGTCTATTGAGGTGGTAACAAGTTAAACATTATTTAAGCAAATTACTGTTTCTGTACAGAGCCCAACGACTGGCCTATAGTGTTACGGCTGTGTTAACAAACTTTCCAGTGTTTTAAGAGGTAATGCCACCGTGTGCTTTTCACTGATGAATAAAAGTCTAATTTTCATTGGTAGATTATTTGTATTTATGAAGCTACTTTGAAATTTGATAATCATCTCACTGCATAAGTTATATAATAAGGAGGTTGGCTTGAGTTCAGAAATATACCCATCTCTAATCTTGCAGTGATATTTTGATCTGTACTGTATGGTAGAGGCTCCATGTGTCCCTCTGCCCAGCATAGATAAGGAGTTAGAAGGTGGATGGATGGATGGATATAGTTGGTGGTTTAAAAATTCAATTCACTGGCATTACAATTCACTGGTAACAGGAAAAAAAAACATTAATCATTGGCTTGAAGCTGGTTTGCACATCACAGTACCACAGTCAGCAGTGACAAGAACCAGTGAGAGGAACCAGTGCAGCTCCTGTGTCAGCCTGGAATTTAGGTCATCAGACATTCCACTAAATCAAACTCGAGTGGCTCTCATTTTTCTATTTCAGTCTACTTACACCCTGTAACTTTGTAAATATTTGCATACTTAGTGGGAGCAATGGAAACATTTTCTATTCAGTTTTATGGTAGATTTACCGTGTCAGTGACCTTTTTAGGTCACCTTATATGGGCTGATTTCATAGACCTCCGTGAGAGATTTTCCTGCCTTAACTCTGATCCACTGACCCTTTGTAAACATGCTTTGTATTCTGCTGAACCTCTTGCAGAGGTTATTACACTCATAAACTCAACTCAGACAAACACAAAGAGAACTTTTGGGTTTGATTTACTTTAACTGTGGGGGGTTTCCAATCTAAAAATGGAACAAAGCAGGTTAAGATCTTAAGACACAATAGTTTTACACGCAGGCCATTCAGCAGCTGTTATATACACTTTATTCATAGATAAACAAGAAAAGAGAAACATTTAAATTCTCCCTCACATAACTTTGGTTGCAAAGGCAGGTCTGACACTGTAAACCTGTATTTGCCGCTGATGAGGTGCCGCTTAGGGACACGGTGGCACTGCAGGTCCGCAGACGGCGCCGCCAGCTGCCCCCCGGAACCGAACCCGTGACAGCACCGCGGGTCGCTTCTGAAACATCAGAAGCTGACTGGCAGCACATGATTTCACATCTTGGGCTGCCTTTGACAGAAAGAAGCTTAGGTTCCCAGAACCAACGTCATTGGGATTTACTCACTATGTACACGGTATTCAGCAGATTCCTTCAATATAAATGACTTCATTGTGACAGATACAGTCATACTACTGTGTAAGTGTCTACGAGCCGCTTCTTGAAGTATGTGATATATTTGTGCAATGTGACTCTCACCGTGAGCCAGTCAGAGTCAGTCTAGAGGACTAACTGGGGTGTGGCTTTGATTGTCGCACTGTGACCCTCCCCTGTGGTGGCCTGCCCATGTGGGGCGGCTGGCAAGTCCTCGTTCGTGGCAAAACCGTCCAAGCGCCGGAGTCCTGTGGTGCATGGGGGGAGGGGCCTTCGAAGCTCACTGCATGATCATGTCAGGCTGGATGTTGAACAGCAGGTCGTCGTTGCCGCGACGCACCTCCAGTAGCAACGCGGTCTCCTCCGCCAGGGCCTCCTGCAGCTCGCCGGTGCTGGTCAGGGCGCGGCCGTTCAGCTTGACGATGACGTCGCCGTCCTTGATCCCGCCCCTGTCGAAAAACACGGAGCGATCGGGAAATCGGAATGGAGCCACACTGGATACACAAAAGCTGCCTGATTACTAGATTTTTAAATATGCATTCCAAAAAAATAAAAAATAAAAAAAACAAAGCAAACATTTAGTTTTGTGAAAAAGTCAGTCAAAGAAAATGATGTTTCAATGATCTTTATGCTGGTGTAAAACTATGATATTATATTTGTCAAAGTGTGTCAGCTTAGACATTTCAAAACCTCTACTAAAATCACCCCAAAATTCACACGTTTCATCCAATACACCTATGTAGTTTTTGACTCGACCACTAGCACACCTCATATGGCAAACGAATAGCTCACCAAGTTAAGTTAATTAAATTAATAATCAATTCATAGAGCTGGTGGTGAAATTGAACAAACACATGAAATGGCTTGAGATGCCCCTGAGGATGTCGTACAGTACATGTTCTAACGCTAAATAGTTTTTTTTATTTTTGTTAAGCAAATATACTTTTACTACCCAGATAAATAGCTGTATACTTTTATTCGACTTCCTAAGACATTTGCAGAGTACTGAACGCGGGCCCCTGAACTGCATGCTCTCTACATTTCTCCTCCAATGATCAGAGGCCTTATGGGGATGTGCAGAAGAACAGAGTGTCTGCACTTTTCTTTTGGAAAAAGAAACTAACCATATATTTTCTAGGGCAGGAAAGAACAGGACGACTCAAAGGACTGCAGAAACCCGCAGACAGGAAACAGTCAAGGAAAACAGCCCTGACTTTAGGCTTTTTCTGTCCACGTGTTAAATTTGATGCAGAATCTGCTTCATATTAAGGACAGATTCAGGCAAAGGAAGTGGCTTTGTTTGCATGTAACTCTAATATGACTTTAAATCATTTTGTTACTTTAAGAGACGTCTCACAGAATAGTGCTGACTTGTAACTTTCAACAGGGACGTGGCAGTTATGGAAATGTAATGCCAGATGTGTTCCAGCACTGTCTGTTGTACCCTTGAGGAAGGTATATTGGTTCCTCCAACATTCCCAGTGAAATCTACTGAATCAGGCCAGTAAATTATCTAGCCATTTAAATACGCAGAACTTGAGTCAACGGAAGACAAAGTGTAGCAGAAAATTCAGAAACGACAGCAGCGTGTGGTTTGACGATAACCTACTTCTGAGCCGGGGAGTTGGGCAGAACCTCGTGGACGTAGATGCCACTACTGATGCCTGGGAAGTCCACGTTCTGCTTTTTCAGGTCCTCCACCAAGCTGGCAAGATTGACACATAGCTGACTTTCTTCACACTGTTCATGTTAGCATGCTCTGAATGTAACCAACACAGACCTAAAGGATGTGCTCCTCATGCAGTGAATCAGCTCATAAATCAAAAGGGTGTACAGATGTTTTATGTATATATATATGTGTGTATATATATATATATATATGTGTGTGTGTGTATATATATATATATATATATACAGGCAACATAACATTTAATCATTCATAATTATGGGATGTGGATGTATGCGTATTAGCATCCAAAGAACCTTAAAATAAAAGCTGACACAGTACACATTTGTAAAGGAAGGACTTGGCAACATGTGAAACTGACAACCACATGCAAATTCCGTCATACGACAGACATCCAGAAAGGTCTCATACCCCGGAGTGATAGTGAGCATTCGGATTCCAATAAAACGCTTCTTCAAGCCCTTCATCTCTGAAAAACACAAAGGGTCGTCAGCGTCACAGCTCAAAACAAAACCTGGCTTACCAATCGCGGGGTTACTGGCTTATCGTGGGTAACTTGTCGGATTTAAGGTACCACAGTTTAAATCGACTCCATATTCCTTCACTTACATTTTGCCCGGACTACCTTAAATCCGACAAGTTACCCCGATAAGCCAGTAATCCCGCTTCGTAGTGCGGGCCACAGATAAGAATCATCATTAGCATAGCCCTAGGTTAGTAATCCTGTTTCTAATACTTGGGCAGAAGCAATTGGCTAATCAGTCGGAGACGGTCTGTCTACATGATGCATGTCTAGCAATTTGCCAGATGCTCAGTCAGCTGTGGAGCTTAATGAGCCTCCAGAAGACACTGTCAGACTTGCATCTGAAAATCCTGAAGTTCTTCTTGTTAGCTACTTGCCATAAGCTAATGAATGTCGGCCAGCTGAAGGTGGTTATTGTGTTATCAAGAGGAGTCTATGACCATTAAGGTGTCGCCCAAACAATGTGATCTGGGTCTTAAACCAATCAACAGTTACCTAACCGATGTCTAAATGTTATGCTAATATCCATGACGGTACTGTTAATGAGAAATACCCATAGTGGCACTGTCAATAAGAAACAGGATCTCTTATTGGTTTAACTTTAGATTGAAAGTGCGTTTCTTCCCTTAAGGTCAGAGGAATCCCACACATCTGTTCAATTTAGGATGGAAGTATGTCAGATTCATTGTACCCAAGCTGTCGTGCAATTTATTTCAGCCAGTTTTTGGAGGGAAAATTACATCGCATGTCTATTTCGAACACAAGCAGCAAATGATTCCAGCAGGGAGTGCTGGGGCACAATGAAAGTGTGCAGATCCCTGGGCAGTGGATCCTCGTCTTAACAGCCTAGTAATCTACTGGATTAATAGTAATCTGGAAGCTGGAGCTTTGGAGCTCACCTGCATCAGAGACCAATGACTGAAGCTTTGGGAAGCTGTAAAGTCTCCTTAATAGTCTTTGTTTGACTAAAACCAAGATAAAACAAACGTTCAACCATATAAGCCATCCAGACCCATCACCGTGGAACAGAATCACAGACACTGATTCAGGCTTTGATTCATTACTGCAGAATTGTCGTAATGATCACAATTTAAATAAGTTTTAAATCTCTCACCTTTGATGCGGTGCACTCATTATTTTAGATCAGGGTTATTCAAATCCCGGTCCTTGAGGTCCGAACACTGCTGGTCTTCCAGCATTCCTTTACCTGTCAGTCAGGTGTGAAGCCTCTGACCAATCAGAATCAGTAATTATTAAACTAACTACCTGGGAGAACTGAAAACAAGGCCTGGATTTGGATTCGAGGTCCAGATTTGAAGAACCCTTTTAGATCAATGTGCCTTTATGAGAACAATGATATGCAATGTATTTAAAACCAGACATGATAAATGATCTTTGGGCAGTATCAGTTAGATACTTGGGGACACAGATCCTTGTCAGTGATGAAACTCTACCTTTACTGTGTCTCTCCAGAGATTCGTTGAGGAACAGTTTGATCCTGTCCGAGGGAATTGCAAAAGATATTCCTGCTGTCACCTTCAGGGTATTGATTCCGATTACTTCTCCATCCTGGAATACAGAAAGTAACGTTCATTTGTCGCTTGAACTCAAATACCAGTCTCATTCAGAGTCATAGTGCACTGAAATTAAATAGCAGAGACAGACTCATTTGAACAGTACAAAGTGCCTTACCAAGTTAACCAGCGGACCTCCAGAATTCCCGTACTATAAACAAAAGATTTCAATTAGGGAAAAACATGACATAACAGGTATATCGCTAATATTGGATTTTGATGTGATTGTCAAAGGCATTCTAGGTGTGAAATATGGCCGGTGTTTAATTAAAGACGTTCTCCTTACATTGATGATGGCGTCTGTCTGGACGTAGTCCATGTCCGAGTCGCGGAGGCCCAGCTCCTTGCCGTCCCGCTGTGCGGTGCTGACTATGCCGGTGGTGACTGTGTTCTGCAGGGCGAAGGGGCTTCCGATGGCCACCACGAACTCCCCGGGTCGCAGGTCGGCCGAGTGGCCCAGCCGCAAGACCGGCAGCTTTTTCTGAGCACGGGGAGAGCGAGAGAGAGGAGGAGAGAGAGAAGGACCAGTGAGAAGACGGACAAGGGCCCGGGAATGATGGGAGCTTGCAGTAGGAGACCTGGGACGTCTGACTGGACACAGCAAAACACCCAACTGTACAAACAGGGGGGAATAAAACCATTTTGGATCCAGAATTCATTACATATGACCACATGATAAACCGTGATGTCACCGTGCATTCATCACCCTGGCGGACTGACTCTTCCCTTTCCGGAAACGTCCACACAGCCATCTCACGATCAGTCCTTTCAGAGTGCCTAAACATATATCAGGTAACAGATAAATATCTACAACTAGATAAATATCCTGTGATGGGTTGGTGCTCCATACTGGGTTGGTCCCTGCCTTGCACCCAGTTTCTTTGAGGCACCAACAACCATGAATAGGATAAGGGGTTACAGAAAATAAATGGATGGATGGATGGATGGATGGATGAATATCTCTCTTGATTTAGTCTACTGCATCCCCCTTTGTTGCTTTTTTAATTGAAACATATTTAGCTGAATACAGAATATTTTAGTGCGGCTATTTTAGTGGAGCCTTGGAATGTCATTTGTAAGCGTTTAAAACAATCGTTAGTAGCACCGCTCTGCTCGTTCGCAGGAGAAGCATAATGTAAGAGTAGAAGAAAATGATAACGTTCGGCGCTTAATTACACGTTTGCCTGCGACAGATGGCGGAGGTGACGTCCATGTCAGCCACACGTAGCTGCGGAACGATCCGGACGCCGCGTCACCATCTGGGCCACTACAGACCACCGTGAATTACCATGAAGGGTAAAAACAGAAGCATATAATCTGAAGCGGATTAAATATGACGGATGAACTACTGTATAATAGCTGGGCAATTTCGACTCCTCTGCCGCACATGCGGTTGGAAGGTCCAAGTACAATTCTGCGGCCAAACCTTTGATTACTTCATTTTCCCATAATGCCTGGCGGGTCCACCTAATACCTCCCAGAACCGCCATACTTCCAAGACATAGAATCGGACCCCCGGTGAACCGGTCGTGGGACAGCCTGGCGGTGACTACCAGAGTCAGTGACACAGACGCTTGGGGGAATACGTCATGACAACACGGAAAACATGCCACCACCCAACAGCTGGTGAAACTTGTTAAAATCATTTTGCAGAACATAAATCTGGTGGCATAATTATTGAAGCCCTTAAGAATAAAGGGGCAGATATTGTAAGAAGTATGAGCCGTTTTCTTTACAAAATGTACTCTTCCTTAGCTCATACATTGCATCATTCTGGAAAGTTCTTTATTGTTTTACAGCCCACCAAAGTGTAGAACTTGGGAGGCGGAGGCACGGAGAACCCCCCCTCCTTAAACACCTCACCTGGGGGTTGACCTTGATGGTGGCGATGTCGGACTTCTTGTCGATGTCCCGGATGGCGGCCTCGTAGGTGTCGCCGTCGTGCAGCCGCACCTTGAGCTGCTGCCGGCCCGACAGGGACTTGGTGCTGGAGACCACGTGGGCGTTGGTCACGATAAGCCCCGCCTCCGACATGATGAACCCCGAGCCGCTGGACAGGGGCACGTTCCGGCCAAAAAGAGGGTGCCTGTAGCAAAGCCCAAAAGCAAGAAAGAGTTAACAATCTGCCCTGTAGCAGTATAGAATTACTAAGTGTCTGTTTATCTCCGCAGACAGAGGGGACATGCCATAACCAAACAATAATTAAAAAGAAAAAAGTACAACAATAGTATGATGGCTGCATTTTTTCAGCAGCACCCCCCCCCCCCCCCCCGCCCCCCATGCCAAACCTCTTTAAGGATGATCTATACTTCTATGTAGCTGTGTACCCTACATCATAGACCGAGGCACACCTCCCCGGACGTGGAAGTATACGACAACCGTGATTGGTCCGCTTTAAGCATCACACTTCCTCCCACACAAAAGTTTTGTTGTTGTTTGTTTACAGCTGGGGGGATTTTAGTGCACGGGAAGTTACGTTTAGCTCGTTGCTAAGCTGCTGTTTTTTGCCATGATTGCAGCCATTCATGGTGTCAAGAAGGACGACTGCCATTCACATAATGGCTGTACGGTATTGGCAATTTTCTGATATCACCATTCGATCGTTTGTGATAAATATCGCGGTAATGAAAAAAGGTGAAAACCGGCACCAACACTTTTCTGTTACACAGGGGGGTGGGAGTGTAGGGTCGTGCTGTAAGATGGCGTCCGTCAAAATTTGTAGGGGGGTAGTCCTTAAGTGGTCTCCTTCACAATTTGTGGTGCAGAGGGGGGAGGGTTGCTCGGTGGGCTAAGCCTGTGTGCCTGTAATCACAAGGTCGCCGGTTCAAACCCAGCCTCAGCACGTCTGCGGGTTCCTTGAGCAAGACCCTCAACCCCCAGCTCCCTGGGCGCCGCTACAAGTGGCTGCCATTCGCGGACAACTTACTCCACAAAGAGCAAGTTGAGGGAGGCGTAAAGACAATTTCCCCACAGGGACAATAAAGTATCAATTATTATTATTTTGCAACACTGAATGAAAGTTTCACTGCCTGCACCAGCTCATACTCAGACCCCACCTCAGCAACAAAACACAGTCTGCATTCTGGGATTGGTTTAAGCTGCACTAATCCTAACTAAACCTATCATTGCAAAATATGCACAGAGCATTCCCTATAACCTCAGTCTTGCGGATGCACTCCTCCAGCACACAGTCCATCCTTCTATCTCCGATCTTAACTGGAACCACAAAATATAACCGAATCCCATCTGAATATTTTTTTCGAACCTGAATCAATCTCTTTCACACAAGCCAAACTCTGTGAATGTAACTGCAATGCGATACCGTAATTTCACACATATAAGGTGCGTGCAGTCCACCCTTCTGCACTGCTACAACTATCGATGTATCGCAGGGTCAGCATAAGAAATCAAGTGGGAGTTTTTTAAGGAGTTTTGCGATGTTTAGTAACTCAAAATGCATAAAATAAATGTGCAGTGCTGGTCTGGAGGATGTCAAGCGTGTTTACAGCAGCCTGTCATGTGATATCTCACAGTGATAACTATTGTACATAATCACTGTATTCAGTTCATGAAAAAAATAAAGCAATATACCTGAAAAACATACTTTTAGTGTTTAAGAGTGGGAATAACTCTGATGTGTTTCTTATGTACCTTTATTTGTTCTTTCAGTCTTAAAAAAACACCCATTTTTGGTCACATATTCCGATTCTGTCAACCCGCATCCCTCCCCCTCCCCAAAAAAAAGAGAGAAAAATTACACCAAACTCTCTCATAAACATCCTAAAGGGAGGAGGAAAAAGCGGAAATCTGCCAAAAAGAGGATTTTTTTTTGCCTGTTATAAAGCAGACAAGGAGCTAAAGAAATGGCCACATTTTACTTGACTGGGCACAAATATACTATTATACTATACTATTACTCACAAATATACTATTATACTATACTATTACTCACAAATATACTATTATACTATACTATTACTCACAAATATATTATTATACTATACTATTACTCATGTATTAATTAAACACAAACTAAGTCTTACATACTGATCTTATGTTAATTCATCATTAATGAATCATGATGCATGTTTTATCTCCATCAGTTACTGTATTTGTTACTATATCTGTTAATTCTGTAAACCTTTGTGAACTAGTGAAGGAACAAGTCATGAATAACACAGTTAAATACCGATCTCATGTTTGTTCATGATTAATGACTTGTAACATCTTTTATCTCAAGTAGCAACTATATTTCTTCATGATTTGTCCATAATTCGTGCCCTGTCAAGTAAAGTGTTACCAAAAAAGTAAATATCTCACAAACCCCTCAAAGAGTGATTTACACAGAAAGGATGAAAACAATTATGACTGGCTCAGAGAGCACAGGCAAAGCAGCTTCGGTAAACTGAATTTCAAACATATACTAGATCTTGAAACGGAACAATCATTACATTTGCAAAGCTTGCTGAGGTTTGTTTCCTATGACCGAGTAAAAATGTTTTAGCAAAACTTTAGCAAACCTCCTGCACTCATCCAGCTAATGTTTTGGTGATGTGATTGCAAAGCAACACAACTTATAGTGGGAACATATAGAATTTCATCCATCTCTCACACAGTTGTTTTAATACACAGTTCATTTCTTCTCTACCCCATGAGGGATTCTGTCCTGGAGCTCCGAATGTCGGGCAGTTCCCAGCCTGGCTACACATCTGCTGCTGGACACCCCCCCCCCACCCCCCTCCATCCCGAAAGAAGTAGCCCCCACACCTGCAGATCCAAACATCAGCTTCCATAGCTCCACA